AAACAAGAGGAGCCACAAGCATCTGATACGGGCAGCCAGCTCCACTGCCAGGGGCCAAGAGGGAGAAAAGGGAACAGAGGATGAACAAGAGGAGCCACAAGCATCTGATACGGGCAGCCAGCTCCACTGCCAGGGGCCAAGAGGGAGAAAAGGGAACTGAGGATGAACAAGAGGAGCCACAAGCATCTGATACGGGCAGCCAGCTCCACTGCCAGGGGCCAAGAGGGAGAAAAGGGAACAGAGGATGAACAAGAGGAGCCACAAGCATCTGTTACCTGTGACAAGCACAGCACAAGCACACTCCATAGGACATGGCTGTCCCATTTTGTTTTAGAGCTATTAACCCCTTAGTTGTTGCTCCATTGCACTTTAAGTGGATGCAATATAATAACTAATAACTATTACAGACAAAAATAATATGAAAATCCATATGAGGCTAACTTAACCGCGGTCAGTGACAAGTTATCATCATCTTCTACCAAAGCAAATAGCCAATCGTAGTCAATATTTTAAAAAAACCAATCAAAGGAGCGGCGATATTAGCCACTGATCCCACTTCCAAAGTGTCAAAATTCATCCTGTCAAGCGAGCGAGTGCTGTGCAGACGCGAACGCGTAGAGAGGATGGGTTTTCAGCTCACGAGCGCACACGCACGCGTGGTTCGACTTTTGTCACTAATGTACCGCCGATCGAGCGAGCAAGCGAGTGCTGTGCAAACGCAAGCGCGTAGAGAGGATGGGTTTTCTGCTCGCGAGCGCATACGCGCGTGTGGTTTTTATGCGCGCGAGTTTTGGCACTAATTTAACGCCATAGATTCACCATTCTTAAGAACAAAGTTGCGAACAATTCTGCTATTTAAGAACACGTCATGAATCCGACGTAGGTTGTTCTTAAATTTCACAGGATCCAATGTAAGAGAATTCTTAAGAAAATATTGGTGAATGAGGCCCATTGTTCGGGAACAGGCTAAAAGAAATAGGCCTACGTTTCATATGATGTATCTTTAGAGTCTTCGCAGGACGCTAAGAGCAATCGTTATCGGTACAATATCTGGTTTCTGGGCGCAAATAACCAAAACGTGAACACAACTTCATTAGGCCTAATTCGAGATAGCAAATTGAGAGCAGAAAAACAAGTAAAACGTACACACATCTTAGTGATCTCTACAGCTCGATTTAGTATTTACTGGGTACATTAGTATATCGTGGGCATAAAATAATTTTAAAATAAAAAAGGGCTCCGTGATATATTAAAATAAGCTTGTGCACGGTGGATTCAGACATGCATCCTACCAGAATCCCGGTGACAATTGGCACTCTGAGCAGGACTTCCAGATTCACTTCTGGCATAGTAGCAGCTCTTGAAATCCCAAGTCCAAAAATCGTGAATCCGCATATAGTCTGAAAAACCTAGTGCAAAATTTTACAAATTATATATGGGTGACATAAAATCAAATCATAACAGAAAACATATATTGCAAATCTCTAAATAAGCCTCCACCAAGTACAGATCAGCACTATAGAGGCTGCCCAATTCACATATGTTTAATTTCAAATTTGTTTTTACTTTTTCAATTGATTAAACAGCTCAACCCACAAAAGGTTTTAGACGCCTAACTTCAGGACAACGATGTTCCGTCCGATTTCCCTTATTAATTCTTATTTATATTCTAATTGGAATTTTACCAAGTACTGTATATAAGCTTTCAATTGGTTTCATCTTTTGAACCTTTACTGAATCCTTTATTAATTGGAGAACCTCACAAAATGTTTGATTGGCTTTCCAAACAGAATATAACTATTTGTTTGGAAACGAGTCACGGAAAAACAGAATTTAAAAATTATAGGCTATAGCGAGAAAGGTTAAAAGATAACAATTATAGTGAACCAAAGTGATAATCTTACCCCTATAGACATGAGCTGTGTCTCTAACAGGTTGTGCAAACGAGGCTTCTTGATCTCGAGGACCTCATTTGCTTTGTACTGCTCAAACAGTGGCTCTGTCACCTGAGACTCTTCTACAATTTCAGACGCGGCCATGGCGATCAGCCTCTTTTCCCTGAGGAAATATGTACATTTTTACCTGACGGTTGATCAGGTCAAACAAATGTATCTGCATATTCAGTACATTGTTCGCAGTAAGCTTGGGGTATATCCCGGGATGCAGTATCGGTAAATCCATTAGGCGACATTCAGGCGCGAGGCGGCAAGAAGGTCCTGGGTTCGGTCCCGGGTCCTTTCTGTTTGAAGTTCGCACGCTGTTCCCAGGGGGTCCGGTTTCCACGATCCAAAAGCATGCAGGAGTCTAAATTGGCCCTGTAGGCCTAGTTGTGTTGGCGACATCCCAGGGTTGGTTCAGGTGTTATACCAAAAAAGGCATTCCTGCCGTAGAATGCATGCCTGTCTGAAACGAGTTGAGCTGTGAACGAGTTGTCGAGTAAGGCTACTGTAGTGCTAATCAATAGCCCCAAAACCCCCCTAAAACCCTAACCCTAATCCCCAAAACACCCCTAAAACTCTAGCCCCTAAAAAACCCCTGACCCCCCAAAAAACCCTTAAAAGCTCAACTCGTCAGAACATGCATTCTAAGGCAGGGATGCGTTTTTCGGCATAACACCGGGATATGCTCCGGTCCCCCCCGCGACCCCATTTTGGCAATCAGCGGTTTTGAGGAGGCGCCGACTTATCAAACCACCGGCGCAACCCCGGCAAAATTCAGCGGTTAGGAATTGCAAATTGAGTTTCCCCCCCAACATGCAATGCAATTGCCGGGGACGCCATAACAAAGAGGCAGAAAACGCATGGCATTACGAAATGCAATTCAGTGCCTTGTTATTCTATTTATTATTCAAAATATTTTGAAATGAATTAAGGATTGCATAAGCACTTTGCACATTGAATTGCCGATTGCAAAATGTATTTAAAAATTACATGTTCAGATTAAATATTGAAATGACAAATGCATGCTCTGATTGAATATTGAATTGCCAATTGCAAAATGAATTGCCATTTGAATTTTTGTTCTTATAATCTTCCATACAATTAACATTTTAACAGATACCCAGAAAATAAACCGATTAGTCTGTTTCAGTTATAATCCTTTCCACCCATTTCGGGGTAAATTTCAGCAGCCTATTAGTTAAACTTCACATTGGTTTCACTGATCAAATTTAGCATCGCTCTTTCAGATTTATAGTTTATATAGGTACATTTGTGTAATTTTTCGTAGTAGAAACGTTGTTTCTCTTCAATTCCGTCTTATTTGTCCTAAATTAGCATTTAAAAATCACTACCGTCAACAGAAATGGAAGGGCGATCTGTTTGAGAGATGCATATTAATAATACTTTATTAGCACCAAAATCCTCGTCAACAGATAGTTGGTAAATTGTCAACAAACGTAATTTATTAATCGATTGCTATGCTGCTATTTCTGTCAGATGATATTATGCTCGGAAATTATATAGATTACAGATAGGCTATCTATATATAGTCTATAGTCCAGTAACGATTACTTTAAATATAATTACGAGTGTTGTAATTATAATCCTGTAATTATAATTATAATATAACGTCTAATGATTTTGTGCAATAGATTCGTTCTCAGTTTGAAATTATTTAAATTACTTTCCTATGAATCAAATATTTTTATATACATTATATAGCCTACTTACCTGTTTTTTCCGTCTATCTGTCGCCGATGAATAAAGACCTATCGTCAGCCCTCTTCCCTACACGTCCGTAGCCTGATCAGGTGTGAAGGGTCTGGAATGGATGCAGCCGCTCATGCCCGCTCCATGGAGAATAGCCGGAAATGGAGCAATGTGGAGATTAAGCTGAAATACGTAACGGAAGTGACATAGTATTGATTTTTTTGCATGAGCGAAAAAAAGTTTGTGAAGATGTGCTTCGCCATTAGATTTTGATTTAGCGTTCTTTTCTTGTCCATTTTAATAACAGTATTTTCGTTTTAAATTAAGTGCAGTTACAATTTAAGTCAAGGAACGTTCCTTAGAGCTTTACATTTTAAAAAAATATTTGCTCGTAATTTTTACTTTTTTTTTTATTGTGTGTTCAATCTTATTGAGACGTGCTACCATGAATGCACTGATCAAATATAGCATGATATTTAACATGTTTGAGTTTTAAAAGAGTATCGTACTGTGCTCTCATTGTAAACAAGTGCCGATTCGTCGTGTCATTTCATGTACAGTTACATGAATGTAAGATATTATTCCTTTAGTGTTTTCAGTGGTTATAAGTAAGAACTAACACAGGCAAATTATGCATTTAGTAGCCATGATACACATTAAAGTAACATAAATCTGTTTTTGTTGTACCAAGAAATCCCACTGTTTGCAACCCTCAGCAGCTATTAGTTGTAGTACAAAATGAAAGAACATGTTTTTCATACTATAAGTACTGAATTGTTAGTTAAGGAAAGGAGAGAGTAGATTGCAGTCTATAATTTGAAAATTATAGAGTGCATTATTATATTATGTAGTGCATGACTGTTTAGTGTGCTTCCTTGTCGTAGGGCATATTAACGGGCAAGAAGATATCAAAATATCTGACAAGGTTTCTGAAACCATCTTGCATCACTCCTGTGTATTTCGAGGATGATGAACAGCAAAACCATATACCTTTCATATACCTTAAAGATTCCTTGACAGGACCCCTACTGTTCTGTTCATTCTTGGTGTATTGATGCCAGAGGTAAGTGTTGGATTAATTTTGAATTTTGAATGCACTTGATTAAGTTGCTGAGTTTATTATTTGGTAGATAAATCATGAATTTTATTCCAATGCACCATCTTTGGCCTTTCTGCACTTTATAATATTGATTTTAAGAAGGCAGAGGAAATGTTCCTTGCAGGCCCTCCGTTAGATCAAAGCCATGTACTCGTATTTAAACTTGAGGGTTTTATTTTCAATTATTCTGTAAAAATTATTAAGCAATTTTTCTTCTTTTCGGTGAGAAAGATGTCTTCAACGAATCAGTTGAGAAGTACATGAAAAGGAACGGTGTTTGGTTGTAAGAATAGTACTTACTATGTTTACATTTTTTTGTTTGATCAGAAGACAAATTTAATTAGTTTGTTTCTTGTGTTTCTCTCTTCCTTTTTATCCTCCCCTCTCTTCCACTCTCTTTTCATTGCTCTCTTAGTACTACAAAGTGTATATGTGCGTTTTTATTTTTATATAGGCCTAGTATTTATACATTTTATTGATTTGTTTTATATAAATCATTGTCTTAAAATAAATGTTTCAACTTCAAATCTGTCATCTGAATTTTTGCATAACCTACATATTACTACATATAACCTACATTATAGTATTAAAATATTAACAGATTAGTAATAAATATGTGTACTGTGTGTTCATAAAGAAGTTTAAAGGAAACATTTTATCAGCAGTATGCAATAATAATTGTTTATATTAATAACCCCCCATACATTTGTATTTATTGCCAAACATGTAAAAATAATAAAATTTGCAAGATTGTGGTAATTTTGCTCTGATCTGTGCCACACCTGCTCCTGTTATTTACCTGAGAACAGGTGTGGCTCATCAGAAGCCAGGAAGGATAGAAAACCTACTGGATAGTAGCTGTCCGGGACCGGAGTTGGAGACCCCTGAGTTAAGGCAACTAATATAGCCAGTTAGCTCACATCATCTTACTGTAAAATAAATACATTTCTAGTTTTACAGAACCTTTCATGGCGTTATCTTGTGAGTGTCTTAGTTTATAGCATATAGTGTTTAGTTGTTCGTGTGGTCTTGAGGAGAACGTTTCTCGGTCTCCTTATGGCAAGACAGGTTTATCATACACGGGTTATTTAATGTGTTTTATAAAAACAAGATTTTAAAAAGTTAAACCAAGACAAAAAAGCAAAATGGAAATGAGAAAAGCTTTTAAAAATTGCTTAGAAAATCTAAAAAATCTGATTAAAAGTGCAGTATGTCATGCCCCGCTCGTCCCCTCCTCCCGTGAGCCACGCCCCCTCGTTAACCTCCTGTGGAATCCCCGTGTTTATCAGCTGTTTCCAGTTTTCATTAGTCTAATGTATTTAAGACCGCGTCAAAGTATGTTTCCCCAGTCCGGTCATTGACGTCCGTCTTGCGTTTCTTCGATGTTCCTGTTTTGTCTCCCTTCTAATAAACCCTCGTTCACGCGATCTCACGGCTTCTGTGCTGCTTCTCCGCCGAAAGGCGTGACTCAGTAAACGTATACAGCTAAAAATCAGGCACAGTTAGAGGTTTTGTGTTATATCGCAATGTTTTTATTGGTTAGTTTAGTTTAGTTTTTTTGGCTGTTTTCTCATCTGGAAAAAAATAAGCATTTGATTCCTGATGTCGATCGTGTCCAGTGTTCTCCCCCCCCCCATCCAGCTTTTATTAAGCAGTTCGGTACCTCATGGCATGTGTAAAGTGTATTACAGTTCTGATATATAAGATTATTAATAACAGAATTGTGCTATTTTTTATTCCATTTTGCTCTTTATTCACACACACACATATCGCAGAGAACTGTGATGCGTCGGGGAAAAATCCGCGATATAGCAGGGGCGCGATAGGTGAACAGCCATATAGTGGATGATCACTGTATGCAATACATATACAGTGGTACCTCAGAACTCGAATTTAATCCGTTCGGAACTCCGGATCGAATCCTAAAAAGTTCCAGTTATGATCTAATTTTCCCCATAAGAAATAATGGAAAACCAATTTATTGGTTCCCGGCTGCAAAAAAATACACCTAAATATGTTAGCATTTAAACACAAAATGAACCGGATAAAACAAGAAGAGCATATACTGTACTAAACACATCTAAGCACATTTATCAAAACAGTAATTTGTAAAGTAAGAAAATAAATGTATCCAAACAATGTGTCCTACCCCAATCCTCCGCTCCTTCCGTGTACCACGCCCCCTCGTTAACCCCGTGTGGAATCCCCGAGCGATCAGCTGTTTCTGGTTGTTGTCCTTAGTCCTCTGTATTTCGTCCGTGTTTCAGTTTGTTTTCCCAGTCCTGTTATTGTATTGTCCGTCTGCGTTTTGCCTGCCTTACCTGTAATTAAACCCCGTATTTCCCTATACCCTGACGTCTGCGCCTTTGTCTACATTCCATCCCCGCCCGGCACAACAATATTATTATAATTAAACGTATTAATGGTTTATTATTAATATTAAAATAATGAATAAAAAAATCTTTATTTTTAAATGCATTTTATTATAATTACTGTTACTGTCTATCATTGTCTAAATGTATTTTTTTACTGTCTAAATATATGTATTCAGCTAGTGTAAACATGCACGATGCTATCACAGCAAATGCCAGGCTGAGACTGAAGCTTTACCCTTTGTTTCCTCTGAGAGACGTGCTATGTGACTCATTTCCCCGCCGGTACAAGTTATCTTAGGTCGGTGTTCACGGTTTGACTTCTGAGATTCAGATCGAGCTGTAGGTACGTTTTTTTCGAACTGGTTGGTTCAACTTTTAAGAAATTCGAGTTCTAATGAGTTCGAGAAATGAGGTACCGCTGTAT